TGCAGTGACCGCTCCCGGCCACTGCAGCCTCGACTTGCTGGGCTCTGGCGATCCTTCTGCCTCAGCCTTCCAAGTAGCCGGAATTCCAGGCATGCGCTACCACGCCCGGCTGATTTTTTGATTTATTGTAGAGATGAGGTCTCGCTGCCCAGGCAGGTCTCAAACCCGTGGGCTCAGGCAATCCACTCACCTCAGCCTCCCAAAGGTGCAGGATTATTGGCTAAGCCACCGAGCCCAGCTGCTTCTTATACTTCTCATTTTGTACTTCTACTCAGACTGGATTTTCATTAAAATTAATAAATTTCATTATTCTATCTCAGATCATCATTATAGAAGTTTAACTGTAACATTACTTTTAATGAAAAATTTGCATTGTTGCTCAGTAAAAGAATAAGATGTTCACTCTTGTTTTCTGTTGGGAAAATAATGCTTAACTTAGGATATTGAATTTATCAGATGAATTCCAATTCCTGAAATTTTTCATTGATTTTGAAAGTTTGATTGATTTTAAGGATTATAGTATGAAATACAGCCTAAACTAAACTCACTTCATAAATGGCTTTTGTGAAAAAGTAACTTAAAGCATGATCTTTTCATGTTTGTGATTTTAGGTACTTTATTTGAGAACCAGTAACTTTTACAAAATTATTGTGAGTCTAAATTTCAGGTTGTTTATGTTTGACAGCCTTCTTGGTGTTTTTGTTTGTTTGTTTGTTTGTTGTAGAGATGAGGTTTCGCTATATTACCGAGACTGCTCTTGAACTCCTGGGCTCAAGCAATCCTCTTGCCTTGGCCTCCCAAAGTGCTAGGATTACAGGTGTGAACCACCGTGCCTGGCCAACCTTTTGTTTTGAAAAACTCTCAGAAATTGTTGAAAAAGTACATCATATAAATCTTAAATTTCTCCCTAGAAGATTGTGTTGACAATCCAAATAATTTTATGCTACAGAACTATTTAGCTGTAGAATCTTTAGCTATATGATTAGTTTCTCCCTATGAGCTAGGAAAACTGGAGTGTCCAGAGAAAATACTTAGAATAGTAAATTCCATTTAACACTTCAGCGTTGGCAGCTATTATGGACTGAATGTTTGTCAAATTCATATGTTGAAACCATAAGTCCACATGTGGCTTTATTTGGAGATGGGACCTCTAAGGAGGTAATTAAGACTAAATGAGGTCATAAAGGTGGAGTGCTGATCCGATAGGATTAGTGTCTTTATAAGAAGATTCACCTAGCTTGCATGTGCTCCCTCCCTCTCCATCTCTACACAGATGAAAAGCTTGGTGACAACATAGCAAGAAGCTGCCTTTTGCAAACCTAGCAGACTAAAACAGGCTGCCATAACAAAATACTACAGACTAGGTGGCTTAAATAACAGGTGTTTCTCTCTCACTGTTCTGGGGCCTGAGAAGTCTAAGATCAAGGTGCCAGCAGATTCAGTGTTGGCTCTCTTCCTGGTTTACAGACAACTGCCTTCTTGCTATGTTCTCACATGGCCTTTCCTCTGTGACTCGTCCTTCTGCCTTACCACCTACAGCCATTGAATTATCAGTCTGCTGTTTCTATTTCCTCAATATATGTCAAACCCTTCCCTGCTAACTACGTCTCTAGTTCCAACCCTTTCTGGATGACAATAGCCTTTCAGATCCATCCATGTTCCACATTGCTTATTCTTAACAAAATAATCTTTCTGAAATGTAAATTTTGCTTATTTAAATTCTTCTGTGCCTCCCTATTTCCTGTGGATAACTTCCAAGCTTTATAATATAGCCCCTGTCTATGTCTCTAGCTTCGTTTACTATCATTCTGATATTACTTGTTAAACTTTTGGTTTTCCTTCCACTACATGAAGAATTTTACTCTGTTTATTCTGTTACTTTTGCCTGCAAAGTAGGAAGGAGGCTTCCTTCATGCCTGCCCCTTTTCCTAGTGATCTCTAGCTTATTCATTCTTACTATTTACAGGAAGGCTTCTACCTCACTCCTTCTCCCTGTCCCTGGCGTCGTTCTGTGTTTCCAGAATATTCCCAATATCTTTCATTACATGGTCTGGTTGTTTTTAAACTATCTGTTTAGATGAATGTTTAGTTATTTTATAGAAATAGCCGGCATATTCATTTTAGTGCTTATAACAATGTCTGTCTCATATTGTGTGTTCAAGTGTTGGTTGATTTACTAAAGATGCAGAAAGTTAAAGTGACTTTTTAAAGATCAGGTTGCTCATTGGTGACAGAATTGGGACTGGAAAATAAGTACCTTTTTTATTGCCTCATGCTACAGACCAAGTGCTTCTCCTAGTACCGTATATAAAATTGGATAAATATAATATTTATTGTAAAATTTACTAAATAAGTTACTTTAAATGTAAATCAAATTTTTACATACTGTATCTAGTGGCTCCATCTCTTGGGAGGTATGTATATTAACCAAGATTATAAAGTTTCATGTTATAATGAGGGCTGTAGTTGCCAATGGGTCTGGACACTGGGGTCCGCCAGGTACATATTTTTTTCTGTAGATATACCATACACTAGGCTAATAATTTTTAATTGATATAACCACAGTATTGTTATCATACTTAAGAAAATTAATAATTCCTTAATATCACCTAATATGATGTGTGTGTGTGTGTGTGTGTGTGTGTGTGTGTGTGTGTGTGTGTGTTTCCCCATTTGTCTCAAAAAAAGTGTTTTTACAGTTGGTATGTTTGAAACACAATGCCCGTACTTTTTAAAAAAAATTTTTTTATCTTAAAGATGTGGGGTACAGTTCAGGGTTAGGTATACAAATGTTCATTATGTAGGTACCCTTGTTGATGAGGTATGCCCCCTCCCCCGGCAGATTCCCACCACTGCCAATCCCACCTCCCCACCCATCCCCTTCCCCAGCAGTTTCCCGCTACTGCCAATTACTTTCTTATAGTATTATGATAATTGTTCAAGATCCACTTATGAGTGAGAACATGTGGTACTCAGTTCTTTGTTTCTGTAATAGATCACTCAGTATTATAGGCTCTACGTCCATCCAGGTTGCTGCGAAGTTCATGATTTTGTCCTTCTTTATGACTGCATAATATTCCATCATGTATATATACCACATTTTTTTTTATCCAATCCTCTTTTGATGGACAGCACGGTTGGTTCCATGTTCTTGCTATTGTGAACAATGCTGCAATAAACATGCCCACACATTTTATTTGGTGGATATGTTCTTGGATAAAGATCTATAACAGTTTCCTCTCCCTTTTTTCCTTCTAATACCTTTTATTTATTGGGAGAAAAAAATGTGTCCTGTTCAGTTTCTTACTACATTGCAAAGTCAGTGAGATTAGGAAATTATATTTTAGCACTAAGAACTGTGCCTGGCACCATAGGCATTTAATTGATATTTGTTGAATAATTTTAATAATACTTAAGGTCTGTGTTTTGTCCCTACAGGTGGATCCAAAAGACTACATGTTCAGTGGACTGAAGGACGAAACAGTAGGTCGCTTACCTGGGAAAGTGGCAGGACAACAGTTCCTCATTCAAGACTGTGAGAACTGTAACATCTATATTTTTGATCACTCTGCTACAGTTACCATTGATGACTGTACTAACTGCATAATTTTTCTGGGACCCGTGAAAGGCAGTGTATTTTTTCGGAATTGCAGAGATTGCAAGTGCACATTAGCCTGCCAACAATTTCGTGTACGGGATTGTAGAAAGCTGGAAGTCTTTTTGTGTTGTGCCACTCAACCTATTATTGAGTCTTCCTCAAATATCAAGTTTGGCTGTTTTCAATGGTACTATCCTGAATTAGCTTTCCAGTTCAAAGATGCAGGGCTAAGTATTTTCAATAATACCTGGAGTAACATTCATGACTTTACACCTGTGTCAGGAGAGCTCAACTGGAGCCTTCTTCCAGAAGATGCTATGGTTCAAGACTATGTTCCTGTACCTACTACTGAAGAGCTCAAAGCTGTCCGCGTTTCTACAGAAGCCAGTAGAAGCATCATTCCAATATCCCGTGGTCAGAGACAGAAGAGCAGTGATGAATCATGCTTAGTAGTTTTATTTGCTGGTGATTATACGATTGCAAATGCCAGGAAACTAATTGATGAGGTAAGGAGAAAAAGAAGAGATATAGACATACACCTAGATAAAAATGCACTACTCTGGAGAACTTCCATTCCTTTCAAATTAGCTGTTAGAAATACAGGCAGCCCTCAAGTTACAATCCTTTCCCACCCACCAACCCCCAAAAGATTTGTCTGTAAACAGGTTGCTTGGGCCTCAAAATTCTTTCCCAAAGAAACTTTTTAAGAACATAATTCATTAAGCATTTATTAAGTACCTATTATGTGCAAGTTACTCTGTTACCATATTTCATTGATTATAGGATACACATTTGTTTTCAACAGTTTTGCTTATCTGAAATGTATTTAATTTATGTCAACTTAGAAATGATGAAATATTATATATGCTGGAGATGCAGATGCATAGACAAAATTCTCTGCCCTCAAAGAGTTTCCATTCTTGGCTGGGCATGGTGGCTCATGGCTGTAATCCTGGCACTTTGGGAGGCTAAGGTGGGAGGATCACTTGAGGCTAAGGGTTCGAGACCAGCTTGGGCAACATAGTAAGACCTCATCTCTATAAAAAAAAAATTTTTTTTAAAGTTAGCCGGGCATGGTGGCATGTACCTGTAGTCTTAGCTACTTGGGAGGCGGAGGGGGGAGTATTGCTTGAGCCTAGGAGTTCTAGGTTACAGTGAGCTATGATTGTGCCACTGTACTCCAGCTGGGTTTACAGGGCGAGACCCTGTGTCAAAAAAAAAAAAAAAAGATTCCATTCTTTATAATAAATGATTTCCAGAGAAGCTCACAAAAGTATTACTGCTTAGTAAAGCATAGCCTTTTATAATTATTTAGTGTGGAAATTTCTTTGGAGCTCTAATTGGTTAGAAGTTAGAAAATAATCTAGAAATACAATTTTTGGACCCTGTTGTGATTGAGAGCAACCTCCACATTGTTTCTTATTTTCCCTTGCCCTGTTACCATAGAGAAGAGGTTGGTGTTGAAGAGTGAGATGAGGGGTAGGCTAGCAAAGGTTTAGGCTTATGAGCAATGGCTCTTGGTGAGCTCATGAGTAGAGAAGGGTTCTTTGGTAGCAACTTCTGCCTGAAAAATAATTGGAGGCAGAGAGGTTATTGTTGGTGGATGCTCCAGTAGGAAGGTAGCAGTAGGATGTATTGATTATCTACTAATCAGGTGTCCTTCGGGAGGAATCTGCTTGAATAAAAGTCAAACTCCCAGAAATGGAGAAGTGAATGGAAAACTCATCAAGTCTCTCTCTGAATGTATTTTTTAAAAGTTGGAACATGTTCTTATCAACAGGGTGCCTGAATGAAACGTAACTGTACACCTAACACTTAACTGTACCCCACAAAACCATAATAAAAAATATTGATTAATAAAAAAAAAAGTTGGAACATATCAAAAGGAATGATTTTAGGAAAAAAATTAAAATTGACTACTTCTCTATAGCTATACATTCTACAATGTAGAAACTGATATCTGAAATCTACAAAGTATATCTGAGATGTATTTTTTAAAACAACAGAAGCCAAAGTATGTCTTTGATATTTTCTTTTTTGCTTATGCCAGTCTGATGAAAGCATGCTATGAATCTGGTAAGATATAGAAAAACATGCTTCTGGCTTTTGGGCTATCTAATCACTTGCTAACTCAATATCTGAGGGGTAAATATTTATTATACTGTATGATGATTTTTTTAAAAACCTACATACAGTTTTCAAAAGATATAATTAGGCTAAACTCCTTTTTGGTAGGTAATTAGGAACAGACATAACAATGTTTCGCATGTTTAAAGAAAAAAGCCATCAAAACAGTTTTTCTTCATGAGTCATCAAATGTTTCTAACCTTTTAACCTTTGGTATCTGGTATGTGAAATGGCAGTGCTGTGTGTCCTTGAAAAGAGCATGACCAGGAAGAGTGATGTCCTTTAGATGTCCTCTGAAATATAAAATAAAAATCCCACAGTAATAATAATAACTCTTATATAGTGTTTACTGTATATCAGGCACCGTTGTAAGGAATTTACCCTAAACTTCCTCCCCTCTCAAGTTTTATAACTCGTATCTCAAAAAATCATTATGTTTAATTTATAAAAACAATGTGAAACAAAATTCTGTGACACTCCTAGGGTTTAACAAAACTAGAGTTAGTAATCACAGTTCCAGTCTAAGCTGTCCTAAGATATTTTGTGTTGTGACATGAGAAAGACTCGAGTTTTACTTTTTTCATCTCAGAATTAACTGGTCTCTATACATATTTCCTTGGGAACTCGAACTTCATTTTTAAAAAAATATGTAATCTCTCTTAACATAATATGTAAGTCTTTTGTCTTTCAGCATGTTTTCATAACCTCTTCACATGTACTTGACATTTTCTTTCTTTTTCATTCCTGAATTCTGCACTTTCAGAATTAGATAGGAAGAATCTAGCCAAAGACTCCCTAGGCTAATTCCAGCTACTCCGAAGGCTGAGGCGGAAGGATCGCCGGAGCCCAGCAGGTCGAGGCTAAAAAAAAAAAAAAAAAAAAAAAAGACTCCCTAGGCTAGAGGGTCCTTGAGTCCACATGCTTTCAGTCACATTCTTACTCTACCGGCATTCATCAACTTTCCTTTATCATTGAAGCAGCGTAACAGCATCATGTTTAAGGGCTAAGACTGTGGTCTGCACAGCCAGACTGCCTAGATTTGAATAATGGCTCTGTGTTTATCAGCTGAGTGACCTTTTGCAAGGTACTTACCCTCTCTGTGGGTCATTTTCCATATCTGCAAATGAGGAATAATGGCACCTATCTCATAGGGCTGTTTTGAGTATTGAGTTAATTCATTTAAATTCCTTACTAACTCTAGTTTTGTTAAACCCTAGGAGTATCACAGAATTTTGTTTCACATTGTTTTTATAAATTAAACATAATGATTTTTTGAGCTATAAAACTTGAGAGGGGAGCTGGGCTCGGTGGCTCAGCCTGTAATCCCGCGCCTTTGGGAGGATGAGGTGAGTGGGTTGCCTGAGCCCGTGTGTTCAAGACCCGCCTGGGCAGCGAGACCTCATCTCTACAATAAATCAAAAAATCAGCCAGGCGTGGTAGCGCATGCCTGTAATTCCGGCTACTTGGAAGGCTGAGGCGGAAGGATCGCCGGAGCCCAGCAGGTCAAGGCTGTGGTGGCCGGGAACGGCCACTGCACTCCAGTCTGGGCGACAGAGTGAGACTCCAACTCAAAAAAACAAACAAACTTGAGAGGGTAGGAAGTTTAGGAAGGCTGGGTAAAATAAAAAGCACATTCTACAGGGAGTCAAGAGAAGTTACAGGGCCTTGGTTTCCTTACCTAAAAATCAGATTACTTTACTTGCCCTTACACCACAGATATGTACAGGATAAGTTAGGGTAAAAGTAGTTTGAATAATCTGGGAGTATTTAATAATTTGAGTAGTTACCACCACTTTCAAGTTTTTAAAAGTAGAAGAATCTTCATGAAAAGGAGTCTCTAAATATCTGCAGTGAAATATTAAAATATAGTTTAATAGTTCATTATTTGTTTTAGGTAGCAGTATTTTGAATTAATTATTGTAATCTTGTCAGTTTGTGTCTGACTATAAAATGAGAGATAACGAGCAGTGTGGAAAATAAGAAACAGAGGTAGGATTGTTTCTGATATTTTACATAACTTCACAGTCATCTGGCAGTGATGTCCATGTCATTTTCTGCAATTTTAAAATGTATGTTTCTTTTTTTCTGAAGCAGCATTGAATGAGGGTTCTGAAGTAGAATTTGAGTTTGATCAAATTTGATGGAATGGTATGGAGTAATGTAGCCAAAGGATGAAATAATATTATCCATTAAAAGTGATTTTCTATTAGAATAGCTAGAAAATGTCACCGTCGAGTAAGTAAAAATTTGTATAATAGTATGTAACTGATTGTAAGGTAAGTCTGGAAAGTTACATATACTAAAATGTTAACAGTTGTGCTTAGTCTTAGGAAGTTGATTAAGAGCAGGGTTTTCTTTTTTTTATTGTTCTGTAAATTTTACAGTGAGCATGTATTATTTCTGTAATGGGGGAAAATAAACCTGGGAGGGTAAAGGAAATATAACTCTATGTCAGTGGCATCTTTGAGTTGTAGTACCTTGGTTGTTATTTTTTTGCTTCTGTTTTTTACTCTTCAAATGTTCTGTGTTGAGCATATATGTTACTTTTTATTATTAAAATGCAATAAGCTTTGCTGAGTGGTTGGAATGACTGCATTTTAAAAACTAATTTCATAATTACTTTAAAAATTAATATGTATGCATTGTGGAGAAGTATAGAAATAAGAAAGAGTAAAAATAATTTTTAAAAATCAGTTCATAATTGTACTATACCTTGAATAGCCTTTTTAGGAATAATTTTTAAATCTATTCAGTCTGTAATCAGATTAACTGAGTTGAGTCACAACTCTGCTACTTAGTAGTTAGATTACCTTGGGCAAGTTTCTTAATCACTCTGTGCCTTAGTTGTCTCATCTGTACAATGAGGTTAATAATAATACCTACCTCATGAGAAGGCTAAACATATTGTACATCTAAAGTGCATAAAATTGCCTGCCACATAGTAAGTGCTCCATAAATGTGTTCTACTATTATTGTGCTATACTATACAAATTTGTATTATGCCTTTTAAAATTAACGAATTGCATAAGCTTTCCCCCATTTTATTATAACATCTTTGTTGCAGTTAATGAACTACGATAAATATAATGAACTGTGGTATTTCATCATGTGAATATATCATATAAATTTACTTATCTATTGGACATTTGCAGTACCACCAAACTAAAGCTTCCATCTGGTAGTTTCAGGCAGAAGATTTTTAATTATGTTTTAAATTTGAGGAATAATTTGACCCTTAATCTTAACCATAGAGATTACAGTACTACCTCTCAACCAGAACCACCCATCTGGAAGAATCTCGTGTTATTTGAGAACTTGTTGCAGTAAACAACCTGAATTCGAGTCATATCTAAAACAAAAATCAGTGTGCTGTGTTACATTTTATACAGAAAAATGCTAGACTAGAAAAACATTGTTTTAGTCTCAGAAGTGCATTTTGAAATCTAAATGAAATTTTATTTTTCACAGATGGTTGGTAAAGGCTTTTTCCTAGTTCAGACAAAGGAAGTATCCATGAAAGCTGAGGATGCACAAAGGGTTTTTCGGGAAAAGGCACCTGACTTCCTTCCCCTTCTAAACAAAGGTACCTTATGGATGAGTGGTATACTTTTGTGGTTATTTTCTTGCATGCTGACTTGATTTACTTTTGCTTTTAACGTTTCTCTTGCCTTCTCTTTCTCATTTGTTCTACATTTTTTCCTATTACTGTTCAGGAATGTCAAAATTTCACATCACTCAAAGAGCCCTATATAGCTAACTAGAAATCAGGCATTAGGTTTTTTCCTATCCTATGTTTTTAGTACTTGAAGATAACATTTTATGTATAATGTATTTGTTATTTCTAATTATTATTTTGTTATTGTTGTACATTTGTACTTGGTGAGTGAACATTTCATACTCCTTGCCCAGAGTTGCAAAGCACTTGATAAAGATTCTTTCTGTCTTCAGTATACTTTAGCCATTCTGGAAAAGAAATAAAAATAAAGAGGTATATTTATTTTATGTATTTAATATGATTGATTAACTTCCCATTTATAATTAGAATTTTTTTCTCCAATGGGTAAGTGCCATTAATAAATTTCAGATACTGGATATATGTGCCTGCAAAGACAGGAACTAGAGTTTGTGTGCCCTCCTGAAGGATTGCTGTCTGCCTATTTGTACTTGAAGGTGTATTGATTCTAGAGGACAGAGTACTATTTATCTGTTCAGAATGGGGACATTGTTTGCTCAAGGCTCATTAGGATTTCCTTCACTGGCCTAAGCAAATATGTATAGTAATATGCAATATTGATTGGGTATACCCTAGAGAGAGGACACGTCTGCATTTATATGTTCTTTATGTATAAATAAGTTATAATAAATTATGAAAATCTTGGAAGATTGCTAACATAATTTTAATAAGTAATGTTGGGTATAACTCAGCTGTTAAGTATTAATATAGTATTTCATATACTTCTGTGGTTACTGTAGTAGAAGCAAGGTCTTGCTCCAACCCATTACATGAATCTACCCTAGAGTATAAATGGGAAATTATGACCTGGCCCATTTGATGCAACCATTTTGACATGGAAGTGTTTAGAAGCTTGAAAGTGAATCTTTAAATTCTCAGCAGCTTTTAGAAGTTGAATCAGGTAACAAGTGTAGTGGACATCCTAAGGTGTGAGGATTAGGAATGAAGTGAGCATATGAGCGGTCTAAATTAATGATTTATGTATGCACTTGTGTGATGTTAGAGAAATAATATCATAGAATTACTCCAACCCAAATATAATATCTGCTTTTAAATAACAGAACAACCACATGGAGGAAGTAAAATGTTCTGTTGCTTCAAAGAGTAGAACTAAAACCATTGAGCAGACATTGCAGGAATTTCAGCAAATAAACATCATATAAACAAGTCATTTTTTTGAGTTGGAGTCTCACTCTCCAGACTGGAGTGCAGTGGCATGCTCACAGCCACCGCAGCCTTGACCTACTGGGCTCAGGCGATCCTTCCACCTCAGCCTTCCAAGTAGCCAGAACTACAGGTGTGTGCCACCATGCCTGGCTAATTTTTGGATTTATTGTAGAGATGAGGTCTCACCAAGTTGCCCAGGCTGGTGTTGAACGCCTGGACTCAGGCAATCCTCTCGCCTCCACCTCCCAAAGTACTGGGACTTAACAGGCATGAACCACTGTGCCCAACCATATAAACAAGTCTTAAGAATGGAGATGCCTATAGGAAGTATTCAAAGACTGATGAGTTCATATCAAAAGATCACAGGAGCCAGCTTGAAGGAGTTTCCTTGGGCCAAATTTGGGACAATTTGACTATTAAAAAGAATAACAAAGGTAATGATTTAATAACAAATTCATCCATCCATACTGATAAACAAAAAAGGTGTGGAGGGGAAATAAAGGAATGCTTATCTGCTGTTCACGGAATATTGTGAACTAATAAATGTAGAAGGAATGATAGACTTTGGAAATCACCATTTTCTACTCCCAATGTAATAATTATTTCAGACAAAGATTATCAGTGGATGCTAAAACTATTGGGGTAAAAGTTGCTCAGAAATAGGATGTTGGCTGGGCATGGTAGCTCATATGTTCACATCATTCCTAATCCTCACACCTTAGGATGTCCACTACATTGGGAGGTAGAGGTACTCTTTGGGAGGTAGAGGCGAGAGGATTGCCTGAGCCCAGGGGTTTGAGACCAGCCTGGGCAACTTGGTGAGACCTCATCTCTATAGTAAATCAAAAAGTTAGCCAGGCGTGGTGGCACATGCCTGTGGTTCTGGCTACTTGGAAGGTTGAGGCAGAAAGATTGCCTGAGCCCAGCAGGTCAAGGCTGCAGTGACTGTGAGCATGCCACTGCACTCCAGCCTGGGTGACGGAGTGAGACTCTGACTCAAAAAAGAAAACAAGAAAAAAGAAAATAAATAGGATGTTTATACATTCTAATTAAAGAGGAAGTGTGCCTTTGCAGCATAGATTTGGTAATCTCCATGTTAAACTAGTGATCAAACTTAGCATCGCTGCTAGGTGACAACCTGACATTGTGTTTCTCCTGATGTAATGCAGTGAGAAATACACATCACCTGTAAAGTGTTCCTACTAAAAGTATTTAACCTGAATCTAATTGAGCCAAGTTTGCTAGTTTTTAAGAAAGAAACAAAATATGTTAAATGACATCATGAGAAAACAATGAGATAAATCCAAAATAGAAGACATGCTACAAGATACCTGGCTTGGTCTCTTCAGAAAATGTAAAGGGGAAGAAGAAAAGATGGGGGAACTGTTCTGGATTAAAAGAGACTAAAAATACCTAACTAAATGCAATGAGTGGACCTTGATTGATCTTGGATTGGGGTGGGGTGATCTATAAAGCTATAAAAGGCATTTTGGGGACATCTTGGGAAGTTTGAAGATGAAATAGAATTATTATTAATATCCTTTTGTATGATAATGGTATTGCAGTTATGTGGGAGATGCATACTGAAGTGTCATGATGTCTGCTACTTTCACATAACCCAGCAAAACAAAAACAAAGTATGTTACCTGCATAATGAACATTTGTATACCTAACCCTGAATTGTACCCCACATCTTTAAAATAAAAAAATAAAACAACAAAGTATGTGTGTGTAGATAGATTATGTGCCTCATGTAATAAAGCAAATGTGGACAGATGTTAACTTTTGGTGGGTATAAGCGAAAGGGCAAATACATATTTATGCTGTTCTTTCAACTTATCTATAATGTGTAGGAATTTTCAAAATGAAAAGTTGGAGAATATTTTTAAACTGCTTAATAATGCATTGAGGAATAGTAAGTAGATTGTCAGTAGAGATATTCTAGCAGGAGTCAGAGATGGACTGGGTCCTTATCTAGAAGTGGCCGTCAGTCATTCTAAGGCAGGGTTTCTCAACCTTGGCACTACTGACATTTTAGGCCAAGTAACTATTTGTTATACTTATTTGTTATGAGGGGCTGTCCTGTACCTTATAAGATGTTTAGCAACATCTCTGGCCTCTACCCACTAGTTGCCAATAACAACCCCTTCCCCCAGCTGAAACAACCAGAAGTGTTTCCAGACATTGCCAGATGTCCCCTGGGAGCCAAAATTGCTCCCAGTTGAGAACCACTGTTCTGAGCTAAGGGTGGACTTATTCTTTTGAAAAAAAAAAAATATATATATATATATTTTTTTTTCCCAGTTGGAGTCTCACTCTGTCACCCAGACTGGAGTGCAGTGGCCGCTCCCGGCCACCGCAGCCTCAACCTGCTGGGCTCCAGCGATCCTTCCGCCTCAGCCTTCCGAGTAGCTGGAACTACAGGCATGCGCTACCACACCCGGCTAATTTTTAATTTTATTGTAGAGTTGAGGTCTCACCAAGTTGCCCAGGCAGGTCTTGAACCCTCAGGCTCAGGCAATCCACTCACCTCAGCCTCCCAAAGTGCTAGGATTACAGGCTGAGCCACTGAGCCAGGCTCACATTTATCTTTAATAGCTTGCACCTCAGAGTCTCTAAATCTTCCTCTTCAGTCACAGCAGTAACAATTATTTATTTTTAATATTTAATAAGTCTGTTTGCTTAATAAGAGAATTCATTGTGTTCCATCGTGAGAATCTTCCAAATTAGACCAATCTTCAGAACCATCTAGGGTGCTTTTAAAATTATAAATTTTCTACTCCCATCCCAGAAAGACTGATTCAGATGTCTCTGAGATGTACCCTTGGAATGTCCATTTTGAATAGTTTCCAGATGGTTCTGATAATTAGTTAGACTTGGGTTCTGTTGTTTTAGGGAGAAACTCATTCATTTATTCAATGACATAGTAGATAAATCAGAAGTAGTAGAGGTAGAGTCAGATAATGTAGGGCTTTGTAGGCTACTGTAGAGACTTTGGCTTCTCCAGTAGTCAATGAGATGAGAAGCTACTAGACATTTTTATTTTTTGCTTTTTTTTTTTTTTGAGTTGGAGTCTCACTCTGTCGCCCAGACTGGAGTGCAGTGTTTTTCTCCCGGCCACCGCAGCCTCGGGCCTGCTGGGCTCCAGCTATCCTTCCGCCTCAGTCTTCCGA